CCATCTGTGCGTCTGACATTTCATTCTAATTAACAGAAGGGTTAATTGTTCTGGCAGGCTCAAATGCAGTGTCTAACATTACCCAGGGGAGATGTGTACAAGTGACAGAGTGGGAAGGTGCCGGGGAAAAGCTTGGTTAACGCCACCCGCGACCACCGTCACACTTCGGTTAACAGTCGCCGATTGGTTACCCGAGCCAGGCACAGGCAATTGGGCTAAGGTGTTTTTTCCCCCCCTGTTTCTGATGAATTATGCCATGCCTCTGTAATGATGTAGAAAGAATTGAGTTTAGAGAGGCAAAGACCACTGCCTAGGGGCAATTGGGAGGGAACAATTTGCATGTTATTACTGCATATTCATAACTAATTGTGTTAGGCTTTGCTAATAGAGCAGAATGACGGATTGAAAAATCGAGAAGCTGTTTTTACAGCCAACAAAACACACCGCCATTTCTCTCGCTGGTCTACAACACTGCGCGCTGAACGATCATTAAGATAGTGAGCTGCTAAATATAGCAGGTTGTTTCATTTTTCAGACTGACATGATGTAATCTGTTTAGCGCTCTAATTTTATCCTACTGCGTGGAAGCCATTTTTTTGTACCACTTACGACCGCACGTTATAACACATTCATGTTTGCAAATTGGGTTTCAACATGAAACTACGCCATATTAAACATTAACATAAGTCCCGCACGTTAATTGCGACACGATTCTTGCGGATGAAAAACGAAATGGTAAAAAAAATTTTTTTTAATAATAATTCAAATAAAAACCGAGTACCGCTAGGTGATCTCAGAGGAGCATCGCAGTCTTTTGTTCATCTATGGCAATTTTGTGCATTCTGTTTGGCATGTGTTTTTGATACGATAAGTGTGAGCATATGCATGTCATGATGAATGATTAATCGCATATCATTTTGGCATCAGAGGCGGCATGAGCGCTGATGTACTGACACGTTAAGGGGCTCCGCTATGCGGCGCGAACGCACATGCACACTACCTTGCAGAGGCGCCCCGCGCACACACGCGGCTATAGTGAAGGGCTAAATGGATGCCCTCTGGGTTTCGGAGTCTGAGAGTGGCAATTTGCACGCCTCCCTTGGCCCCTGTGCATTGACTGGCTGTCAGGGGTGTGAGGAGAGAGGAATCTGGGCCCCCGAAGAAAAAAAGACAGGAGCCTTTTACCCAGCATGGGAGAGCCTGGAACAATCCACCAGTGGAACAGGCTGCTTTTTGAAAATGTCTCGGAGAGGAAATGGGACTCAAATTGACTGCAGTTAGTTACCTTTCAAAAACCTCTTGTCTATTCACAGCGCTTTCATTTTCATCTCGCACTTCACAAGTTCTTCCATGAATGTCAGATGACTGATATTTGGCAACCGGAACTGGATAAAGTGCTCAGATGTGTGATGTAATTGCAAGTAATTGAAACAAATCAGGCCTGAACTGTAAATTTGTCAAAAATGGGGCATGCTCTTTCCATCAGTCCAATGTGAATCATTTATGCAGTGGAGATTCAATTTAAAATGTGAGTCTTATAAAATAAATTCTGGAGACTGTCCCAGATGGTTTTGTCCATACACTTTAAGAAAATTCAGTACAAAAAGGTCAGAATGTACTGTGTTAATATGAAGGAATTTCTGCAATGATTATTCACAAGTGTTTTATCCGTATGACATCCGTATTACATTGTATTGCTTTGTCTTTTGTTTCAGGGTTAAAGGTCCCGTATTATGCCCCTTTTCACAAGATGTAAAATAAGTCCCTGATGTCCCCAGAATGTGTATGTGAAGTTTCAGCTCAAAATACCCAACAGATCATTTTTTTACAGCATATTTAAATTGTCATTTTCTGGGGCTCAGAAAAGCGCATTTTTAGTGTGGGCCCTTTAAATGCAAATAAGCTGCTGCTGCCGGCACAGGGGGGCGGAGCTTCATGAGCTCGCGCTCAGTCTCTCAGGAGGAAGTTCGTCTCATGAAATGATGATAATATCAGAAACTCTCAGTAATGGTGTTCATTTCGAGTCGGACAATAATGCCTACAGAGTCAGAGTGCTGTATAGAGATGGAACAGGTATAGTTTAATAGTTTAATTACGTTTATTATAACGTATTTGTCATCTGCTTGTATGTATCCTTTATTTATTAATAGCCTACAAGTCTGCTGTTTGGCTACCAGGTCCGAATGATGATCAAACATATACTGATGAGTTTAATAAAGTTTATTGTACAACAATGACGAAGATGAAGATAAAAGATGAAGCATCAGTTTTCACTGATGTAAGTTATAAGAAGTGCACAAGTTGAGGGAGTTGAGTTCCTGTGGGCGGACGTCGTCATTAAAGAAGGAAGTAGAGGGATGTCTGTTAAATAAAATATCTCGCTTGGCATTGAACTTTGAGCTTTATAATTTTACAGATATTATTTAATACTCTAACAACAACATTACACACTAACTAAAGTTTAAAACATGGGATTACGAAGAACGGGACCTTTAAAGCAAATGCCTGTGAATTTAACAGATAATGTCTTGGCAGGAAATTACCAGTACCTTTTCTGTTTTCTTAATTTTCTTCAAGAATGTCATTGTCTTTCATTGTATGAACAAAAAAAAAGAAGATTTTTTTTTTCAGGAAGAAAGAAAGTCATACAGCTTTGGAACTGCATGACAGAATTTTCCTTATGGGGTTAACTCCCTTTATGTCCATGTTCTCCCTACTTTAGTAACTCATTCAGAAAAGGAAGATCAGGTTTTGAGACTGTTTTGAGACCTGCACCACATTCTTTGTGATTCCTCACTGTTTTTTTCCATGATTTTCCATGTCTCACATTCCCCCCTCTGTTTCGCACCTGATTCCGCCGTCATACCGCACATCAGTTTATCTCCTTATGCTTTTGATGGCACGGGACAACATTCAGGGGAAAAGAAGATTGCCTGTGCATCTGTTTTATTTTTCTATAAAGCCGCCATTTACATATCCAAATATAAGCATGGGGTTTTTGCTGTGGAAACATTAAGAAGCAATATTTATAGGATGTGGCTGGGATATCAGTCGAGAGGTGGTTGATCGCATGGCGCTTGACAGCTGTCGCTAGCAGCTTTGCAGAGCTCATCAGGAAACCGGCACTGCCTGCCCGCTCTGTCAGGGAAGTTTAGAGTGTCGTGCTGAGCTAGAGAGGTTCAGGGAGCCGAACTCAGTGTGAAGGAAGTGCACCGACTCCTCCAACCCTCCATATCATGCTCTGTCACATCAAGAACCCTCTCTGCTGTCTGGCCCCTATGGATCGCTTGTCCAAAATCTGCCAAAACTCAGCCTCTGCCTATCCTTTTCCTTATCGCTGTTGATGAGTGTCACACCGGTCAGGGTCTAACTGCTTCCTGTTGAGCTCTGCATGTATTTGTGCATGTGGATGCTGCTTCATGACCTGATTTATTGTTTTTGATAGTGTTTTGGACAGTACAGCATGGTTCCTTTAAGTTCATTCGGTAATTACCCGCCATTTTTAAATTATCAGTGCAGCCTAACACCGTTTACACACCGAAAAAAGGTAACATAAATTAACTGATTTTATTCAAGGCAAAATAGTATTAAGCATCATTGAATCAACCTAAATGCACAAAAACTGTTAAAATCGATAGAACTGAGTTACAGGATACAATGAGATTCAATTCGTCATCATTAGTTAGAAATCACAGCATTTAATCTATAATTCTATTTTAAGTTGTACAAATTAGTTAATGTATTTTCAACTCTAAAAGGTGATCAGTTGACTTAACTTAACAAAAAGTGAGGATACCCCTTACCTTAAAATTATTGAGTAAATAATCTTCATGCGTAATTGAAAAAATTAAGTTATGTGAAAAGTTCACATAACATATTTTTTTTTCAATGAAGCACGAAGGTTTTTCACTTAACTGTTTTTTCAGCGTAACATTATTTAACAATATATACAGTATTTCCAAATGAACTTGACCTATAGATTTATGTTTTCGTTAACGATAATAATGCATATTTGATCGTGTTTGCTAAGTATTATATGTAGAGTTTATGTTAACTAGTGAATGCCAAATAGCGAATAGTTTTTAAGAATAAGGAGAAATCAACTGTGTAATAAGCCTAATTCAAATGGAAAGAGGACATTTTCGTGCTTCAAACAATGATGCAATTGAAACACGCAAGGTGTAGCACTATATCAGTGCAGATAGCGACTGGTTAAACTGGATTGCAGGTGGTTGGTGAATAAGATGCAGGATCTCACATAAGTTTGCCTCATTGTGTACTAAACATAATGACTATAGAGACACAAGTCATATATGTTGTTTTCTTGGGGCGTTTGTGCTCCGTGTGGGGTTCAACCCCAATTCCGCTGCACTCCAGGTGTGTGGTTGAACGCCCGCCCCCCGGTGAGTGACAGTGTGACAATAATGATGCAGGAAGGAGGGGAGTGAGACACACGGGCCACACAGAATTAACAGCATAAAGAATGCCCGACTCACTACATAGTAATTATGGAGCTCACCAGGGGGTTCTGAGGAGAAAAGAAAGAGAAAGAAAGGGGAAAAAACTATACAAACCATACAATGCAGATTGGGAGATTCATTAAGACTTTCTCATTAGAGCCCCATTACCTTTGAAACTCCAACAAAGCCACAGAGGTGCCATTAGGAGCAGAATAGTGTCTGGAACAATTTTAGTCAGCTTTTCACAAGAACAACTAATGGCTCCTTACAAATGTCTCACGCAAATTGCGGGCATCTTTTGAAAGAGTGCATGTTGTTTTTACTGCTTAAATGCATTGCAGCTAAGTATATTTTAAGCGTGGTTGCTAAATTTGGTCATTTCGAAAGGAAAAAAATTGAATGTTAGATGTATATGTACCTCACATCTGTTCAAGAGTGAAATCTATGGTTGAAACATTGTCTGTTTAGGTCTCAAAGTGAATTTAAGAATTGAAAGGCTGCATGTTGCACTTAATATTCTCTGTGGCCTCTCGTTCACAGTCCAAAGCCAGAGGACCTATGAAGGCTCAGGTGGAAGATCTGAGGAAACAGCTCAAGGCCAAGAGCAGGATTATTCACAGTCTGAAAGAGGAAATTAAGACTCCTTTGTTCCAGAATGCACAAAAGAAGAATGAGGTACGGAGATGACAAAATCCCTTTCCCCCGTCGTCTTTGATTGAATAGAAACAACTTTTTGAAGCCGTTGAATTTTAACAATATTGCATGCTGATTGCACTCGAAGCCTTACATGTGTTGTGTATTAGGCGGCGCTTTCGTTCTGCGACGAGAGGCAAATAGTGTGAACCCTGAAGGCTCGAAATGGCATCTAAGCTGAGACTTGCGTTTACTGCCTCCTACCCCTCCATTTGAGGTGTCACCAAATTAAAACCACTGCTGTTTTATCATCTGTGGGTTATGTCTTTACAAATTGATGGTTGCGGTAAGACTACAAAACAGTGTGCGTGTGTGTGTGTTTTTGCCACACATGGCACATCCTCTAATATCAAGCATTTGCACTTGAGAATCTTAGATAAAAAAAAAAGGTTGATTAAAATGATACTTTTGACCATTCAAAGAAAAGTAAATGTTTTTAAAAGTCTGAATTTCTCCCATAAATGCTTATGCATAAAATATTCAACTCAATTATGTTGGTGACATGTTTTCAAAAGTGATCGTTTACGTTTAAATAATTTCACTGCTTAGGATATTCTTATTTTTACCTAGTTCTTATATGAAAAAAACTGATTTTATATTTCTTAATAAAAAATTATATAAATATCTCTAAATATTATACTATAAATATTTATAAATATGTATCCTATTCATTTCATCCTATTCTCCATTGAAACTCTGTAAACAAATATGTTTTCTTACGTAGGAACTATTTAGTGTTTGTAAAATATTGCTCAATATCAAAATATTTTCAACATCACTTTCATCCTTTTAATCTTTTGTAACAGGAGGAAATGACATCATTCTGGTGGAATTGCTCCCTCTCCCTCTAAAATATTCATACATTTTGATATTTAGATGGTGCCTCCATCATTTAATTCATATGTTCTGTAGATTCTGAAAATGCAGAATAAGATGCAGATCATCGGTAGAGATGTCACCATTAGTTACTGGGTATGAGGATGCTGCAGGCAGGCAGGATGATGCGAGGGTTAATTTGTGTTCCTCCCAGAGGAACACGGCTGCTTAAACCCTGCCTGCTTTTACCTTTCTCCTCTCCATCATTATAAGTCGACTCCAATCCACCAGAAGAGTCTGATTCCTCATACAAGGTCCTTTGTAATCAAGCAAATGGCGGACACTATGATCTCACAGTGTTCTGAGCGTAAAGATGCACTGACGGATGTCTACTGATTTGAACATTTCTGCTTGGTGTGTGTGTGTGTGTGTGTGTGTGTGTGTGTGTGTGTGACTTGACAAGCAGCAGGAGGTGGTACGAGTAAAGAACATGAAGTCAAGCATTTGACCATTGCAAGAGGGCCTGAAATAGAAGGTACATACACTTTGGGAATAGGTGAGTGCATAAAAGCAAATACAGCCATCATCCTTATAACCTTTAGCTGTATTACACAGAGTGACATTAATTAGCCGTATATCCAAAAAATGAGTTTTTTAATGAGAAACTCACAGCAGGGTCACAGATTGGCTATGATAAGCAGTGAATAGGGCTCCTTACAATGCACTCAATTTTTATCCTCAGAAAAAAACCCTTTCTTTCCGACACAGAGCCAGAAATTGAAATGGTGTTGTACTCAATAAACCGGTATGATGAGAAGTGAATTAGCCTATCAGGACAGTGATATTGTGAGTTTCGGTGTGTGAAGGTGTTGTAGCTTTTACAGATGAATCTCAGTGCAGCTCAGCAGTTGTCTGCTAAGCAAGAAGAAAAGGTTTTATGATACAGCAGTCACCTGCAGGGATATATCAACTGGAAATTAAGGAGCCTTTTCCTCTTTAATTCAATTTCATCCCAGCACCTCTGACACACAATCTTTAATTGAGGTGAGATTTATCACTATGTTTCCAAAAGCACTGAGATAAACATTCTGATATGGCCTCTGGACAGTAATGAGGGCATCAGGAATGGGCATGGAGGGAATTATGGTTATCATCTGTCTGTCCGTCCGTCCGTCCGTCCGTCCGTCCGTCTATAATATAATAGTATATAATATAATATAATATAATATAATATAATATAATATAATATAAGGCAATATAATATAATATAATATTGTCTGTCTGTGAGTGATTCAATATTATATAACCCATCTTGTTGTCTGTCCTTGCGAATATAATATAAATAAAATAAAACATAACATAATATTATTATATATTTAACAAACCCTTTTTTAACTAGCAAAGCTTAACAAAGACATGTTTTTTTAGGAATATTATTATATTATATTATATTAATTTTAAATTACATTTTATGTTATTTTGTTTTTGAAAATCCATTTGTCTTGAGTTGGCCAAGAGTTTCTATAAGCTGAAGCATTTTGCTGGTCTAAAACAATGCTTTGATTCAGAATAATTTGCATACAGACAGAGTCATTAAATGTTGGAATGATTTTAAATCAGTACTCATGCGTATAGTGCAGTTATTTGGTCTCTACACTGCAAATGATTTGTTCAACAGAGTATGTGATTCGCACCATGCCTGCCCTTTCATAGGAGACAGGGTTGTGTCTCTTAGCTTAGGGAGTGCTGATAGAGCCAAGCAGATTTGTTTCAGCTGTTAATACCAATCAGGTCAACACTTTGAATGGATGAGTTTTATTCCCCGAGTGTCCTTGAATGCCAGTTAAACTTTAAAAATGCATTAAAAACAAATTTGTGCGGCTCAGGGTTCAAACCAATTGCATGGCTCGCTCTGCTACGGTCCCTGGTGGTGCGTCTGCCAGAATTTCCACTTGCAGCGTTTTTCTGCAAAGGTGATTTTATTTGTTTTTCTTGTTTATTTATTTACATGCAGGGCTAATTCTTCTGCAGATGCTCTACAATAAAGGAATACGCTCTTTTTCTGCATCCAGAACCGAGATCGCATCTGATTACGCATTCATATTCCCGCCGAAGCGTGCAGATTACTCACAGAAGTATTGATTTTCAAGCAGTAGCAGTACTATCTGTCTGCATATTAATATGAAAGTCGTCTTTCTCCCCATGTTTAATTTCTTTATATCTTCATAATTGATTAATGTTCTTTTGTGAGGAAGGAATGAATAATTTATAAGCCCAATAGCCTCCGGCTAATGAGAAAATGCTTAATTTCGCTCAATGTGTCTGTGTTTTAAGAGCCCCACTGCTGTTGATACTTCAGATGAACACACTTGCAACCTTCTGGAATAAGAAGCGAGCTGGCAACGGGATAATTATGTCTAACTGGCATAATGGTAATGAAAGATTGAAGAGATCTTGTTGAGAGAAAGCACCTGATTGTTAGCATCTGTTTTACAGATTCGATGAATGCATTTTTAATTGTCTCTGCTCCCCGACAGCCTGGCTGGCGGTTTCCCATTGAAAACGTGCCAGCTACAGAATGAAGCAAATTGAATGAGCAGCACTTATCGTTAACAAGGAGCGTAATTAAATATGCAGATAGGCGCAATAATATCATTAACCTCGTGGACTAGGGCCGCGCGTTCATATTCTCCTTGATTCTGCACGTGCTGATCAAAGGGCCCACGAGTGTTCGTTGGAAACTTGCCAACAAGATGTTTCGCATTTGTCGCCGCATTAACGTCTGCGTGTTAATGAACTGGGGATTCCGCTAATGACTGTATTATGTGCTAATCCACACTTCACCGCTGCGAATTATCAAAGCAAAAGTGCCACGTCAAATTCCGGATACATATTTTTCCCATCCGAGTGTCAAGCTGTCAGAACAAATATTTATCTGCTGAAACGCATTTCTGCATCTGTTTGCCTGGCGCTGATGCTAAAGCGGAGAGGTGCCGCCTCTGCTAATTACCTCATAATGTGGCATATTGTGATAAGATACCGAGGTGTTTACCCACCGCATCTTGACACCGTGCCAACTGTAGTGCCAACCCTCCTCCACCTGCGCTGCACAGGCGACACAGATGCCCTCTTAAGAGCCAGAGAAAAAGCTCACTTGTGTTTGCTAAGGTCTCTAATGTGCACGGCAGGGAGAGCTAATTGTATTTGCATCTAAATGGGAGTTGTAATTCTCAACAAGCACAGATGGAGGCTGAAGCACCATGCGTCTTTATAAGGGCAAGATGATGTGACAAAGCCCCCTCTTCTTCCAGATTACAGTGGCACCATGACCATATTTATTCTATTAACTAGCAGCCAGCTTAGATTTCTATTTTTGCTCAAGACCAGCCTCTTGTCTCGGTTGTTGTTTCGCCTTCTCCGGATTTTGGTTGTGAATGTTTACATCATTTCGTGTTTTTCTTTCAGCTGTTGCTGTTTTGACAGCGTCACAGAACTGTTGAGTAAGGTGTATATGGTGAGGATGAACGGCCTGTGATGCGCGCATGAGGTTATTTAATATGGCTGAAGTGGCCTGTGTTTATGTAAAGATTAAGGGTAAATGGACTCTAATTGTGCGATCTATTTCCTTTAGTTTTGCTGAGTGATTGTTATTGCATCTGAGTATATGAAAGAGACAGTGTTCCCAGTTGGAGCGGTGGTCAGAAAGCTCCTCAGCAAAATGCAGAGCTGTTTTTTTGAGCCTGACCGCAGCGTTTGACATTTATTATGAATGTGGGATTAAGACAAGATGCCTTTGTTGCTTACAGTGGTGGAGAAAGCCCGTTCGGTGTTCGTATTAGATGGGGGGATGAATTTCCGTTGCGGTAAACGCATCACACAGTCCTCTATATACGTTCCTGGCATGACGCATGAAATGCGGTGTGAGAACCGCAGGCATCTACTTACAGAGACAGTGGTATTGAGGGGAACCCAGACTTAGATTTATGCTTAACAGGAACTCGTCGTGACTCGTGCCAAATGTTTCATTTGCAGTGACACAGAGTATGGTAGACAAAAACATATGACATGTTTACAGCTTTGAGGTTTTCCAATTAAACACATTTGGAAATTGGTTTTGGTTTTTATTTGTGCGCAGTGTTTTTCTTTTGGATTTGTGTTGA